TTAATGATTATGTGTCTAGGAGGACCATCAACCTTGGTTAATCATGATAAGATATATGTAGTTGCTAACCTAGACATACGATGCAGTTTAGATGTACCAACAGTAGTAGAAATATTTAAGAAATTTGAACTCTTATGATCAAAGGTTACAAAAGTAACATAATTCTAAAACATTTTTCAATAGATATTCATGTAATTGTAAATTATGAAGTGGCAAATTCATCCGTAACTAAAAGATTTATTGCCTTGCCTTATGATTACGTTATTATTCAAAATACCTATCCTCAAAGTTCCGAATATGTATAATTAATAGAGAGCATAAAACAAACCTACATTTGTGAATATTTAACTTCTTCAATACTTAAAACATAATGTGGATGTACCAAAAATTACTGTAGGCTTAACTAACTACAGTGTGCGGAAGAATTATAACTTGGGACTTAAACGGTGATAGTTAAAATATGTCTACCGACTGTCATTTCACTGCGATATCGGTGAATAACTGATAAGATAACCGTATCGATACACGCGAAGGGTGTCCGTGGCGCCATCTGGTCTACCGCGGGCCGGCGACCGACAACTTTAAGAATAATAAAACAATGCTTTTTTAGATTACTACTCCAAATAGCTGGTGTGAAAATATAAGGATATATAAACGCCTGCACAAACTAAATGTTTTTAGTTTACTAACAACATTTTTAATCGGAAAAATTATAGATTCATAAAATTTAAATTAATCACCTGTAATGACTTTATCTATTCACTAAATAAAATAAAATAGAAGATATTAGTACACTAACAGTAACACATAATACAAAAAATTACAGTAAAATAGATAGAACCCAACAATGCTACAAAACTACTGAATCATAATACCAACCTTGGTATTCAAATTTTATACATTACGTATCGAGGCAAAAAGGTAACATCAAAGTTAAATTAAAAAATGCCCTTGAAAATGAACCAACCCTAGCTTTCTTTAGACTTGATAATTATTCAGTTTTACACGCACCATTAACAATAATAATATTCATTGTACTGTTCAATAACATAACTATTCAGTTGATATACCTGCGCCATTTATAAAAACAACTAAAAAAGGGGTTGTACAATTAAATTGATTAAGTCTTAACAGTGAGCATGAATCTAAAACAAAATAAAAGAACCTTATCATTCTTCGAGATCTTAATGATTCTCATAATAATACTTCAACGAATTGATGAAGAAGCAGACAGTAATTGAAGGACGACAGAAATTGTATCCGCGTTGGCCAATATATGATTATCTCACACTCGTCAAAATACTATAACTGAACTAGTGAATAATTTCAACAAATTTATAATAGCGAATTAATGCAATTAATATTATAAATGTGAAAGTTTCTTTGTTTGGATGTTTGTCCGTCAATCATGCTGAAACTACTGAACGGATTTTGATGAAATTCAGTAAGAACAGATAGGGTATTAACTCACTTAGATAACGCGGGCGAAGCCGCTGACGAAAGCTAGTACAATATATTCTGATCTTAGGGTAAGGGCATATTTTGCGGAAAATGTATAGCATCTCGTCAGCAACAGAACAACCGACTTGACAAATTATATGATGTGTCATGCTATCTTACACATTTGACGGAAGATCCGTCGCGACCTAACGCATTCTTTCGTGAGACGCTTGACGGATGTTCAATCAGATTTGCACTAACCCTAAAACTAGTTAAAGCTATAAGCAAGCTATAAGCATTGCCGAGGCGATTTTGCCGAGATGTCATTAATTACCCCTTGAAGACAACTTGGAAATTAGTGTTAAATCTCTTAGCATACTAAATCCTACAAGGATAAGTAAGGATATTATCATAATAAAACACAATATGTTGTATGGTATGGTCAATGTCATTGACCAGCATTTTCTTCGCATTTATCTATATGTGGAGTACTTTGTAATTGTATAAATAATTACTGAAAAGTAAATTGACAATTGAGCCCCTGAACCAGCAATGACCGTTACATCAGATTTGCCAAAAAAAACAATACTAAGGGGATGTTGTGTATCACAAAAGTAAATGTCTCTTTGAGTAACTTTTGTATGATATTATATTTTATATAACCTTTTTTACAATCCAACAGCGACGAAAATAGAACAAAACTAAAGTGGTTAAATGACATACTTACATATGATATAGATAGAAGATCAAACATTATGGATGCTTTCACGCAATGAGTTTGAAATTTAATAAAATATGACGAAATTTTTAAACCATTGTAGTTCCCATTTTAACACTAGTCACTAGTTCAATTAATTTGTAGACAATTACCATTATATTATTGACAGTGGTTAGCGATACTCAACACTATTATCCTGATTACTCAATTATTAAATTAATGTGTTTTATAGTACCCGTCGTTTAAGTTAACGACCGATCTATTGATTTACTCGTCAATGTAACTAGAAAAGGTACTCTTACATTAAAATGAGTTAAAATAAATTAATCTCGTTAAATTTGGGATTATTGTAGATAACATACGGGTACCGTGGGGTCATAATAATACTTCTTGCATCCTAGTCCTGACTATTCCTGTAATTGCTGAGTTTTGTATTCTTATTTCTCTGACAACCAACGTTAAGCAATAAAGCTACCCTATACATATTATACACAGCTCATCGGCGCAGTGGTAAAGCAATTTTCACAAGGACCGGTCACAGGATTGGTGATAAAAAATTTACTATCTCTTATTCCTCCGCGATTCAGAAGGCACTTTACACCTGCCCACACCTTCCAATTCTCAATGAACCACACAGTGAATTATAACCTCTTGTACTATTCGATTCCATGTAAAGGGAAGATAGTGCCCAGAAGTGGAGACATCAATGGGAGGTGACGATGTGCAATAGCTTAGGTGATTTTTGGAGTTAAACATAGTATTTTTTTTTTATATCATTTATTCAGTGTTGGCTGTTATAAGCACCTGTGAATGTCGAAAACTACGCCATCGATTCGCAAATCTACGGCGGGAGACCTTGTACTGAGAAGAACCAGTAAGGAACTTTTGGTTCTATCAAGTATTCCAAAACATGGGACTTAAATATTCTCTTCAAATGAAGTACCTTTGATCTTGACAACCACTAAAAGAGCGTTATGGCAAAAGATTTTTATGTAACAGAAAATTAGAAAACATATATAAACAGTCAATATACCCTCTACCTGGAAAGAACACGAACAAATGAGGGCAATTAGCAAGGCACAATGTTATTCTCAAGGGGTTAGTCCAAACCAACAGAGAAGTACTTCACGTTTGGACTTCAAAATCCAGCTGTCGCATTTCATTTTCCCTGACACAGGCAAGGAGCAAGCTTGGTAATTGAGAATCTGAAAATTCTTTTCTATCTATTCATATTTTAGTAACTAATACCTAATTAGTTTTTAAAGATGTAATAAATGGTAGTATTAAATATTGCATTGAAACTATGCTTATGAACTAACGTTTACGTAGACAAGAATTTTCCTTGAAAATGCCCTCGCAATCCTGCTGCCGCCTGCCCGCGTACGGCTCGCGTACTTAGCCTTTTACCGATGACATTGTACCGATATTGTAAAAACACAAAGTCTTACTTGACAAGATGATGACAATTTATTCAATGCGATATTACTCACTCGCTTCGAATAAAATAGATTTCACTCAATTTTACCTATACGCAAATAATTTTTCAAATGATAGGACTGTTGTTGATAGCAATTATGGCATGTTGTCTATAAAACAAGAAGGTTCAATGATCAAATAAATCTACGCGTAACTAAAAATACAACTATTCACAACATTATGCATGTCAGTATTAACGAAAATGTAGTGTTGCACTGATATGTATTATAATAACACAATTCGTAAATATCGAGATACGCGAAGTGCATCGGTGCTATAAATAGTGTCCTCGGGACTGTTGCTACGCAAATTTCCATCGCTAGTTTGATTAATATTGGTTGGCTTCACGCAAGTTTGACTCAGAGTGCGGAAATAATTTACTAAAATCAATCTACATTAACATATAAGTGTAAATCCATATTCTATGCAAACGGGTATATCATATACGAAATCATCTAATATAAAAGTTTTAAAGTATCGTAGCACACCAGTTTATGTCAATGCGTTATATCAATACACTACATACACACGGAGAGAGAAAAATACAGACTTACTAATTAAAATTAAAAAAGATTGTAACTATTTTATAGTTTAAGTTTTTTGTCTATACATTCTGGAACAAGCGCCTGCTTTGGCACTTAAATGGAGGTCTCAACCTATGTACTGAGAATATAAATGTTTTAGACAATAAAATATTATTATTACATAAATACTAGCTGCTTTCCTGCGACTACCGCGTACGATGTACCACCATAGGTGAAAGAATTTCTCAAATTGATCTAGTAGGTTAAGAGCCTATTATTAATATAGATAGTATAGATACGGGAAAAATTTATAATCAGCGCACAATATTAAATACTGTGTCTGTAAATCAGTTTCACATTATTTTCTATTTTTTATACTGCCAACATCCGAGATAAAAAAAATATCTGAAACACATTGATATAATGTACCCTACTCTCTAGCCGTGGTGTGACTGCCCTACTCTCTAGCCGTGACTCTAGGCCATATGATACTTTAACATGTCTTTAAGTGGATATATTTGGGCTAGGGAGTGATACCCAGTTGCTAAAACATCCATTAAAATTTACATTAACTTAAAGCGACTCAAATTTTCATATTTAGAATATTCACGAGGCCCTAAAGTTATCATTAATAGACGTTTGTACACCATGATGTTAGTAACATTGCTGTCAATCAGTAGTTTCGGAGTTTCTTTCAGTTTCATTCAATAACTTCCAAAGTATTTATTTACATCATATTATGGTCTTTGAGTTACCGACTTATTTTTCATAGATATATGTACCAAATATCAAGTCAATCTATTCACAAGTTAAAATACTTTAACAATTAAAAAAATACTCACCCTGTCGTGAAATTTGCTCGAGTCGTAAGACCTCTCCGCACAGAGATTGTATATCTTGTAATGATCTTTATGCATCTGCTCCAAAAACCTGCAGACCTCATCGATGTGGTTCCTGTACACCCCTTCAAGTTTCTCTGCTGGAAATCCCATCGCTATCAACCTATCTGTTATATCTGCAGGAAATGTTAAGGAAAAATCGCAAACAACATCAAAAGCTCACACAGAAGAAATAAAACTCTATATCGATTGATTAACCTTTTAAAGGTTTAATGATATACAAGAATAATTCACCTAAAATGAGGAATGCAATAGATTTGCATTGTTTACAAAGTAACAATTGATGTGCATACTTTAGCAGCCACTGCTGTACAAAGTAAAATCCAAATGGATAATTTTAGTATTCAGTCTTATGATTTAGCGTTCCATTTCACATCTATATTCGTTTAGTTGTCGGAAGCTGCCGTTCCTATTTCTAGCGCGTTTTAATTGTATATATATATTCGGAAGACGCTAATACTAATAACTGTAGAAAGTGTAGTAATTTATTTTTAATTCTATATGTATATTAAAAAGAAAATTAAGTTTAAAAAGGTTCATTGTAAAATTACAATGTAATAAAAATTTTAATTTATTTAAACGAGTGTTTTATCTGAGTTGGTACCAGTAACTAATAATAACGATTAACACTGCACCCGTTTAAGTATTCACAGGCAATACATTGAGTTTTATTACCGAATGACCGATGCAACAAGTTTCACGTGTATGTTGGCAGCATGACAATTCGAGTACATTTCAGTTATAGTAAGAGACACTGTATAAGAAAAATATAACCACATTTGTTATTTGATTGTAACAAAGATTTTATGTGAGATAACATGTAAATTAATATATGAAAATCGTGCATTAATCAAAAGAACATGTCCAGAAGAATTAGAAAAACAGATTGCCTTTGTTTACTTTCCCTTTAGAAGCAGAAACTACGAGGTGCCAGATGTAAACCCTTAACTGTTATTTAATTGAATGTCACAATACATTAAAAAAATATTTATTAACACGGAACCTGTAAATGGTCCGAAACCTCAATAAAACTAAAAACAAATGCGATGAAACCGTTTAAAAATTATTTCATTTAAATAGTATGCACGTGAAACTATAAGAAATCAATTTATCGTGTTTTCTCCAAAAGAGTGAAATATATTTTCTTCAGTAACAACTCTCGAGTCTCGTCCCTACTTATTTTAAAAGAATCCGACAGTAAACAATACAAATAATTCCTACTTATATTGTAAGGGAATAGAACATACCAACATCGTAACTAAACATAAGACCAGTATAAAATATCTGGGAAGGACAAGGTCGCCTATCTCAGATTACATAGAAGACACAAATCTAAAGCCTATTATACCAGTAGTACCAAAATAACTATATATAATATGAAACTAGAAACTCCGCTACAAAAAAAAAATGAGCGCGCTTTTATCGTAAGTGTTCCAATAACATAACGTTTTCAAACAAAAAAAATTTGCTTATCGACGCTCCAATTGTCATATCAATTTCGTTATATCGTCGCGGCCTGATTTCATCTCTTTAAAAATGTCCGAAGTCGATATATCGATAAAGATCAGGGATTCAAAATAGGAAATTGCATTTATGATAAATGTGACACGATCAGACATAAAAGAATCATATTAAATAGAGCGTGACAACTGGGGCTGTAAAAAAATAATTTAACTAAGGTAATCATACAAAGTGGAATTTCATTTACTTGCCTTAAATAATAAGCTCTCGACGCAGTCTGTATTCAGAAATTGACAATATCCAAAGAACAACAGACACTACACGCTAGCCACAACAAGAAAGTTGCTGTTTTATATGTTACTCTTTTAATTAGTATTATTGTTATGTACGTTGTTAGAAGAAGCCAGTTCCTTGAAAAGAGCATCATAAATAAAAATAATAATCCTCGGAATCAGGAATATGACACAACATGATGGATGTTGATTCATTCTATTAAAAACCCAAAGTACTTCAATATAAACATAGTTATCATCCGAGAAACAAAGTAGAGAATATTCATTTTCTTAACTACGATAGTTCAATATTAGATAAACTGTTACTTGTTGAAAAGACGAGTAAATTTTGATTGCAGATCATTTATTTTGACAACTCTTCAAGAATCAAAAATGGTAAGATTATCACGCCGTTAAATTTTTCAGTACGCATTTCATTAAAAAGGCTTTCAGTTTATAATTTAGACTCCACATGGTCAGTGCGAACGATCCGCTAGACATTGACCATCCAGGATATAGTATTGCACTTGGATTAAAGTAACACAGAATGCGAATACTGACTGCATTCGTGTGGCAATAACTGAGAACGTGTGGCTAAAATATTCGGTTCGCGTAGTCGCGGACACAGCGACCGGCACGTGGAAACTGAGATATTGGTAGCGGGTCAGCAACCGTGAACTGTGAAGCACGCTAGATAAATATGTAGCATGCTTGTGTATGCCATTGTTTAGGTTGGTAGTAGCATTTGCAAGTATTCATTTTGCGTATAGAATATAACTGAGAGACAAGCGACACTACTACTAATCATATGACTGAATTGTAATTCTTAAATGCATCTTGAGATATATTTATGAAACTAATTGTGTGGGTATGGCTAAAATTTTATGGAACTTTGAAATGCATTTATCTTTTAATTTATAATTATAATTACGGTATAAAGGGGTAAATAAATAAGTCAAATGTATTATTAAAATAATTTAATCTAATTTAATTAATATAAACGTTGCCATAAAAGATATATTATTTTTTGTATTGTGATTTTTGTATTGAGAATAAGAGGACGGATATAGGGATATCTCTATAACACAAATATTCTATCGATTTGATTTAAGAATCCTAGACTTAAGGAGCTGTATGCTAAAAGACTCGTCTTTAACTGAGCTCAGCGGCAGGTGCTAATTAAATAGATACAATATATGATAAGCTTAGATATTCCAAAAATTAAGAACATGTTATGTTTTGTTGTAATTTTATAAATATTATTATTATTAAGGAGATCATCTTGATGCTTTAACTAAAGTTACACTCAACCCACATGGGATAGGAAGTTTATTATGTAAATAATTATCTAACTTATGCGAGACATATAAATAATAATATATAAATATAAAATTATGTATATGTCTAGTATATAGATAAGTTGAATATAGCCAATTATCTTTTATGTTACAAGATGCTTTAAGCGAAATTTAAAAGTTTCTACCCGCTCTAATTCTGGACATTTCTATTATTGTATCATATTTTATTCAAATCCTTTATCTAGAACCGACCATTAATATTAGGTTGGAGAAAAGTCTTTTGCACTCAGTAAAAATTAAAAGAGTTTAAATTCATTCGACGTTTTAATTCATGGGAGGTTTTAATTCATTCGACGTATAGTCCTGACCTTACACCTTCAGATTTCTACCTATTTCAGTCTCTTCAGAATTCTTTAGGCAGTGTCAGGTTAACATCACGCTTGTCGCGGTTTTTTGATCAGAAGCCCCAAAATTTCTATAGCAATGGGATCATGTCACCCTACCTACAAGACAGCAAAAAGTGACGCACAAAATGTCACATACATACTTTAGTTAAATGTAAATAAACTTTATTAAGAAACTTTTCCCCAACGTATTACTTTAAAAATATTAAGAGCAGGCCTTTACAAACCTTCATCATAACATATTACAGTCACTAGGTATATTAATCCGAATCGGGAACTACAGCAATACATCGATTAAGAGGCCCCTAAGTATGACTAAAAGCTTGCAAAATATTTAAATTATATTTAAGCGTAATTACACGATTAAGTAGTAATTAATCCCACTCATGGGAGATTTGAGCTGTATCATATTATTAAAACGTCATTTATACGGAAGTTTCCAATAATTCTGTATGCATATAGAAGTTTTCCAGGAAATATTCTGAGTAGTTGAATCGATTCATATTGCTGTATGATCGATTAAAAATGTTTTACGTATGCATTAAAGAGACGTGCATCATAATTAATTATATCACTATCGCAACTACGTAAAATGTGACGTCATATTATAAAATTATAATAGCAACACCAAACCACAATACCAGAGTCCTTTAAGAAAAAGGACGTATCACGCATTTCTACTACGTAATAGTAGTATTACGTACATACATGAACAATTGTTACACTGTTTATAAATGGAGCAAGTCATTGAATAATTAACTGATTAAGGAAAAACATTAGAGCAGTTACAGGAAAAGATAATCAGAGCACAAATTTCAAAATTGTGTTCTTTGCTATGTCATTTTCACGTTTTTTTTTCACCTTTTCAATAACTAACATCACAGATAAAGAAGAAAAGAGATGACGATAAACACGTTACTATTTAAAATAATCCTACTGTACTCCGATGTTGATGAGCGATTCCTATCAATGTACCCTTTTTGGTACCAAAGGAAACTGACCTTAACATTTCATCGACCCTTACGAAGGCAGACTAAACCGGGCCTCTCCGACTGCAAGGGACGGCGGTCCAGTGCAGTTGGCCTACGCGACAAAACTCTCGCGTGGACCGGTGACTGACAAGGAATGCCAAGACATCCTATCAATATACCTACAGTATACTTCCATTAAACATGAAAATGTTTATTTGCAAAACTCTGTATATCATTGTTTTATACATTATTACTTTCAATACAACTATATACAACAAACTACGTACAATACGACTTTCAAATAAAAACTTCTTCGTTGTTTATGTTTTACAGTGTGGACATTAGTGTGTGTACTATATGCACATTCACACCCGAACCACCAACAATTCAACACTTTTTATCTTAAGACTTTTCCTCAGTTTTATTTACTTCATCAAATCTGTATATTACTTTTTTCCGTTTTAAATATTGTCAACGTCAAATGTTTGACATAAGATGAACTACAGTGATCTCAAATATCGAACATCAACTTTTGAAATTGGCTAAATTCGATAACAAACACTTTTCAAGCCATTTAATATGTATTCAAAGCCGTACCGCCGAATCCCTAGCCATGTAGGCAATATAACTTTCTTTTGTTTACACAAGGAAAATACACCTTATGTTTCACATCAGGGCACTAATACCAGTAGGATCTGCCCCGAAGGGCA